AGTTGATAAATGTTAAAAGACAAAAAAGATAAACTAAGATATTAAAATTTTGATTAATGAATGGTAGATGTGTCATTTTTGTAAATTGATAAAGATTAAAAAAAAGAGTGAATTCCATTTTTGGTCCTACTGTTATAAGGGCATTTCTAATTTCAGTCCACCTTAATTTTTTTTGCCACTTTACAACCACTGTTATTGAATGTGTTCAACTTTTAGTCCATCGTTAATATTTCCGTCAAGAAGCTGTATAATCAAAGGTATTTTGGACTTTTTATGTTTGTCTCTTCTCTTTTAATCCAGACACTTCGTCCTTCTCCTCCGATATTCGAAGATGGCTCTTCGAACAACGAGAATGGGAAGCCAAAGTTACATTGTTTCGTTCGTTCCAACATGGGTCGGTGAGGTTTCTTAGGTTTTAGGTTTAATGTCTCATTTCTTTAGTCAAACATAGTCTTGTATGAGAAGAAATGTCAAAATAACCCTAGATTACACGACCTCTTGATGAAAATACTAACGGTGGGACTAAAAGTGGAACACATTCAATAATAGTGGTTATAAAGTGGCAAAAAAAATTAAGGTGGACTAAAATTGGAAACGCCCCTATAACAATAGGACCAAAAATGGAATTCACTCTTAAAAAAAAAAAAAATTAAAAACGGAGTATCTTATTTAGAAACGTAACTCGTGATAGCGTTTCAAAATAAGCTATTATTATTTTAAACTTTCAAAGTTTTATAAACATAACTTATAACTTATTTGTAGTTTAAAATAAATTATAAACTATAAAATAAGCTATACCAAACATAGCTTTGATCGTTCGGACTTGAAGATTAATATAGGCTCGGCAAATCAAAAATTATGTCGTTCAATTCAACTAAACTAATAAGAGGATGCTATATTAGCCAACTTGTGTGTAATATAACACAAATGTGATGATTGGTGTAATAAGAATTATTGGGGGAGTAGGGATCCAGCTAAGATACTTAACTCAAGATTTGATTAATCACATTAGCTGGTTAATAATAATATATAAATTATGTCACATGATATATATTATCCATCTCTCTAATAATTTCTCTTTTATGCTTGCAAGATAATATATAATTATTTAAGTCAAGTAGTTTTTTTAAAATATAATTTATATCAAATAGTATGAGATTTTGACGTGTTAAAATCTTTTTTAATTCGGTAACTGTTTTGAACTTTAACTAATTTAATTTAAAATTGAGTTCTATTTTTATTTCTTCAATGCAATTTACATATTACTCTATATTACATAAGAGCAGAATATACATTTAAATAGTGACTACGAAGTTTTTAAGTCATTTAAAAAAGTTAACTTAAGTATAACTAAAATAATTTTTAAAATGTTGGAATTGAGGATTGAAAACACAGAGCGTCAACTGTCGGTAGGAAATAGTAATATACAGAATGATTTTTTTTTTTTAAACAAAAAAAAAAAAAAAAAAAAAAAAAAAAAAGAAGAGACAAATTAGGAAGAAGGGGAGGTCCTCTCACAATTTTGTAGTTAGTTTGCCTCCCATTCTTAAAATGCATTTAAAAAATTGTACTAATTATTATTATAACTTCAAAGTAAGTAATTAGCAACTTATTAATAAAATATTAAAACCAAATCTCAGCTCCTTGCTAAAAATACTAGCAATAAATTAGATAAAGAAATTCGGGTCATTATTGTACAAGTATTTGGAGGTATTTGGGTCATTTTAGGCACATACATTCCCAGCACCTGTCACAATATGACTCGGTGCTTAGCCTACGCGTCCATCATCCCCTCTTGGGACTGGACTTGGCCTGGCCTAGGCCCACATCTCATTTGGGACTGAACTCGGATTTCGGCTCGCCATCGATTCGAACCCGTTACCTCGGCTCTAAGACAAATTGATGGATCTCAGCGTTGCACAAGTCAAACACGCTTAACCACAGAGTTCTTTGGCTATCTAGCTGTCATATCATACTTAAAGCCAATTGGTGATAAGTAAGTGGATATTAACCATTTAACCACACCCCACCATGGTAAGTCACATCGCCATGTCTCGAATTGAACAGAGGCTGAACTTGGCCAACTCGGTTGACGCCCAACACACATTCTATTATTAACCTCCTCCCCTAAGTCGTAAGGGTAGGAGCTATGGGGGTCCTTGAGATTGGGATGCAATCATTTTTTTGATAAAGAAATTTGAGAGTTACACATAATAATTGCATTATTATTATTATTATTTTCTTGGGTGATGAGAGAAACTCATAACTACTACCTGAGAGTGTATATTGTGTAAACTTTCATGTGTAATAACATATAAATCACCCATGAGACATACACATGAGATGCCAGGTAAACTATACTAGAAAGACCCCGTGTAAGGAGTTCAATCAAGAGAGTGCTATAAAACTACAATTACACCTTGATGTGGTTGATTGGTTTTGGAAATGGTCTTTTTTCTTCTTCTTCTTTTATTATTATTATTATTTTTTAAAGTCACGAAAGAGACCCACAGTTATTATCTAAAAATGAGCATTGAGTAACTCTGTACTTGTGTAATAGTTCCGTTTCCGTGTAATAGTTTGTTAATTATACATGAGAGATGATAAAAATACTAAGAAAATCATGTGTGATGGACGCGATTGAGAATGACATTTTTTTCTTCTTTTCTTTCTCTTTTGTCTGATAATAAAGAGTACACTGCAAGAATATAAGTAGTAATTTTCAAAATTTAAGTTGCATAATAATTAGGTACACTATTTATGGGATGATTAAAAAAAAACATAACAGATCTTAACTGTTTTTGCCTCTCCCCCACTATTGTTTACAACTTCTGAAGATTTTACCCCACAAATTTAAAATGATCCAATTACTGCCCATTGCTTACAAATTTTCTAAGTCCTCATCAGTCATCACTTTGCTAATAATTCTGTTAAATGTTAGTGGGGTGAGGACAAAATTTGAGAAAGTGAAAAAAAGAAAAAAAAAATGGAAACTAAAGTAGATAAAGGGGTTAAAAATGGAGACAAAAAATGAGTAAAGAAGACACGTGTGGGTTATTATAGGTGTTGTTATCATTAATATTTGGTTGTATGCCAGTGTAAGAGATATAATTAACAAAATAAATGTTATATAAAAATACAAGTAATATTAGTAAATGACAATAATATTGAGTGGTGTGAGTCAGTAATAGTGACGATAAATTATATGTGTTATTGTATTTGAAAAAAATAGGAATAAGGGTCAAATAAGCCATCGAACTGCACACGATAAAACAATTAGGCCATCAAACTTAAAAAACCAACAATTAGGTCCCTAAACTAATTAATTTCAAACAATTCTTCTAATTTGAAGGTTTTCAACAGGTCAACCGGTCATACTTCCAAATTAATTATTTTTTAAAATTTAAATTTTAAAAATTAATTATTAAAAAAAAAAAAAACTGGTTCCACCGTCTCCGGCTGGATTCCATGTTTTTTTTTTTTTTTAAAATAATTAATTTTTAAAATTTATTTTTTTTAAAATAATTAATTTGGGAGATGACCTGTTGACCTGTTGGAAACCTTCAAATTGAAATAATTGTTTGAAATTGATTAGTTTAGGGACCTAATTGTTGGTTTTTTAAGTTCAGTGGCCTAATTGTTGTATCGTGTGCAGTTCGATAGCTTATTTGACCCTTATTCCAAAAAAATATCCTAAAAATTAGACAAAATGAACATGAATGCTATTTAAAATTTAATTAGACCTCGTTTGAGAGTATGACATGATGAACTTGGAGTAGTTTACATTTATATGACTAGTTTTTACCATTTGTCAAACTAACGGCCAAAGCCAAACTAAAAGAGTAAATATACAATAGGAGAGGTCAGAGGTGGACCACGCACCTTCATTGTGTCATTGTTACCATTCTAAGTTTACTGTAGCAATTTATATGGTGGACATAGTATTATAGATTATGGATTGAAACAACAAAGTACATAATTCATACTCGTAAGGTACATTATTTCATAACACAAAACACAAAAAATTACAACACAAGACACATAACATAGCATTATAGACTACCCAACTGGATTGAAAAAATGAGATACATAATTTATACTTATAAGGTACAGACACTGTTGCAAAAATCGACCTAGGCGCCCTTAGGCCGTTGCGATTTCCCCCCGAGGAGTCCATCTAGGCGCCTAACTCGGCCGAGTTGGCGACAAACTAGGCCAAATTTGGCCGAGTTAACTCGTCCAATTTGGTCGAGTTAGCCAAGTTAACTCGGGCGACTCGACCTTGTTAATTTTACTAATAGAATTAATTTCACTTTTGGTCCCTCAATTTTTAAGGTCCTATCAGTTTTGGTGCACACTTTTAAGGTCCTAACTTTGTTATTTTTATCAGTTTTAGTCCTTTCTGCCAAATCGACAGTGATATGTTGCCAAATTTTATATATTTTAGTGGTAAAATCGTCATCCCAAAGAAACATCTTCAATATCTAAACAAAAGCACTGTAAAATCATACCTATAGGTGTTTGATCAATGAGAATAATGGAGAAGACGGGTAGAAACTAGACACAAATCTATGAGATTTATAGCGTCGATGATTGGCAAACTATTCATTTTCTCTTAATATGATTTTTCTTTGTTTAGATATTGGAGATCTTTCTTTGGAATGACGATTTTGTCCCTAAAATATAAAATCCTGCAACAGTTCGTTGTTAATTTGATCGGAATGATCAAAACTGATAAAAACAACAAAGTTAAACACTAAAATTGAAAAAAAATTTAAAATTATACACAAAAAATGATAACACCTCAAAAGTCATCGGACCAAAAGTAAAATTAATTTCATAATAATACTAGAACCAATTAACACATTAATTAACTAATCATGATGTTGATACCGTATATGGTAATTTTTTTTGAAGGCTTTTACACGGGGCAAGTGCAATAAAGCGTGTGATGGGGGGCATACCATATGTGAATGAGTTTTAAAGAGTCTTCAAATTTCATATAAACATAAACAAACACTTCTGATTCTGTCCCCCTCTGCACATGAAAGAAACTTCAAACCCCCAATTTCTCTCTCTAATCCCTATTGCCATTTCAAACCAGACACCGTGAAGAAGAAGAAGAAGAAGAAGAAGAAGAACACCATAGCTTCGGCTTCCTCCTCCTGTGCATCACTCTTCTTCGCTGTACGTTTCTCTCTCCTTTCCTCCTTCTTCCAGAGTTCCAGGGATGATCTAGCATTCTAGCTCCTCCGCTCCACTTTATCTTTTGCTACTTTTTTTGATTGTCGTTTGTGGGGTTTTCCTCTTTTGAGGGGAAAAGGTGGTTGTACGATGAATGCATTGAAGTCGTCGTCCTTTCGTCCCTTCCTAGATAGGTCTTTTTTTAATCATTGAAATGTACAAACCAGTTCGTACGCACATATAAATGGCCTCACCAGAACACCCATTCCTATGTATTAATGCATTTTTTTTTCTGGGAGAAAGGAAAATTTTATTTTTTCTGATTTTTTTTCCTGGATTTTATTTTAATCGAAGGTGGTTTGCATTTGATAATTCTGTCGGTTTAATTGGATTGTTCGCTTGTTTCCCTTCAATTTAAAGTTGAATTTTGTTATTTCTTTTGGTTTTATTTTTAACCGCGTAACAGGATCGTTTGGATTTCTTCATTTCCACACTGCAGCTTCACTTTTGTTTACTTTTCAATCAAACGACCCTGTTCTGTGGTATTAATTTTGGGTTCTTAATTGGAGCCATTAGATCCTCAAAGTTTGTGTTTTTCTTCAATTTTTTTTTGTCGTTTTCCATTTCTAGGAATTTTGGATTGTCTTTGAAGTTTCGGTGCTGTCTTAGGAATTGATGAATTATGGTAATGCTTTTCATTTGGGGACAATTGTTATTTATCTGAGTTAAAATTTTCACTTTTTTCTTTCATTTACCCTTTTTTGTTGTAATATGATCAATCATTATCAAGCCTCAATTTTGTAATCTTTCTTGCAGATTGATAGCTGCTTGCATTAAAGCCTTGAAGGAGGGGTTATCATATATTCCAATATTATTATTTAATAATTGTAGCATTGTAGAGCTTCTCTAATGATGAACTTGCCCAGAACTAGAGCACAGCCAAGGCCTAATAATAGGTCTATGTCTTTAGGAGGTGAGCTTTCTACTTGCTATATAGGTATTTGTTCTTGTATATATGTACTCTCTGCTCAAATTATAGAAAATCTTCTATTGTGGTAGTTCAAATTGTATAAATTAAGTTAGTTTCTTCTCCAACAGGTTTTGGTGGTTAAAAGTATTGTGGTTACTCGGACTGTTTATAGACTTTGTTTCTTCATGTAGGGTCTAAGATATTCCGATTGTTATTTGTAGGTATGGATTATGTTGAACCCAAGAAACGGAGCAACTTTTTGGGGAAAATTCTTATGGCTGCTGTCCTTACAGCTCTATGTGTCCTTATGCTCAAGCAATCCCCTAATTTCAACACCTCAAGCCCTGTAATTCTTTGATTCATCTCTTTACATTTTACTTCAGTGCAGATTTCTCAAGTGATCTAACATGTTTGCTTCGTTGGACTGAACTCTACAAAAATTTACAATGTGAAAATCGAATGCATCCTTTTATAATTTTAAACTGACCCTTCCCGTTTCTGTTTCTGCATGTGTTTCTTAGTTTGCCCATCACGAACCAGGTGTTACTCATGTCTTAGTTACTGGAGGCGCGGGGTATATTGGTTCCCATGCTGCATTACGACTTCTTAAGGACTCATACCGTGTGACTATAGTGGTAAATATATGTAGAATGCTTAAATAGTTGTTGTTGTTGTAATTCTTTCTTCCCAAAAGGTTGAATCCCCAGCCCCAAGGGCCCCACACACCCCGGTCCGACAGAGCATTTGGGAGTAAATCATGGTAACTCAGCTGAACACAGAGGCTAGACCTTTGCTTACTGTGCACAAAGAGCCCCCTCACTTTGAGAGGTTGCTCCCACACTGCTGCTGGTGAGACTCGATCCCTGGTCATTCTTCCCAAACTTCACCCCTGTGACCAACTGAGCTGCCCATGCGGGCTTGTTGTTGTAATTCTTTGTGGGTACACTGTACACCTTGCAGAACTTGATAGGAATCTCTCGTTTGACAGGACAACCTCTCAAGGGGAAACCTAGGTGCTATAAAGGTCCTACAAGAACTATTTCCAGAGCCAGGGAGGCTTCAGTTTATATTCGCTGACCTTGGGGATGCAAAAAAGGTACCCTGAATCTGATATTTCTTGCACTCATTTTTGTTTTCGTTATTGTTTGCTCGAAATGTGCATCAGTCGCTTATACTCCAATCAATGGTATTCAGGTTCAGAAGATATTTTCCGAGAATGCTTTTGATGCCGTGATGCATTTTGCAGCTGTAGCATATGTTGGAGAGAGCACCCTTGATCCTCTAAAGTAAGTTCTGATTTATATAAATAACCATAGCATATGGATATGCGGTCCAACATTTTATTGGCTGTGTGGCTCATAAGACAAGAAAATTAAATTCCTTTCACGTTCTTTCAGACCTTCACTGCTAACTGTTCTGACTCTAATCAAAAGCTTTTTCCCTAGTGCAAGGTTATAACGATTTCGTGTTCATTTTTAGAAATTAAAAATTAAAGAACGTAGCTTATAAGAGAATGTAACTTGGCCTACTAGAATATACAAACAGCCAGAAACCTTAGCTTTACATAGAAACTACCGAAACTAATGAATACACTAATATTCCATGTCTTATATATATATATAATATATTACTTCTTATGTGTTCCAAATCAGGTATTACCACAATATCACATCAAATACGCTTGTTATATTAGAGGCTATGGCAGCACATGGAGTGCCTACTTTGATATATTCGAGTACATGTGCAACATATGGAGAACCAGAAACAATGCCCATTACTGAAGAAACTCCACAGGTAAATGTAGTTTTTGGCTATGGATGCACGTTATGATAGCCAATTGCTAATGATACCCCTTTTTTTTTTTTTTTTTTTTTTTTTTAATGTGTGTGTATGTGAATATATTCATATCTGACTGAGCCGTTTTATGTCATCTTTAGATCCCAATCAATCCATATGGAAAAGCCAAGAAGATGGCTGAGGATATCATTCTTGATTTTCATAAAAACTCAAATATGGCTGTCATGATTTTGAGGTTTGTAATGAATTTTGTTTTTTATTTTCTTTTGTAATTATTTGTCTTTTTATCTATTTTCTTTTACTTGGTTTAGTGGTAGCCACAAAGGTGCTCAACCCCCGTCTTGATTTTGATTTCTTCAAATGAATCAGTTATGACTTCTACCATATGGACCAAATATCCTTGTGTTTTCACTGAATATTTAGTTCACAAATCACAACTTTTGCCTTACCAACAACGAAGTGCTATATCACTCCAAGTAGATTCCACTATTATCTTTGGCTTCAAAGGATTCACTTTATGTTTCTACTGTTAAGAAATCGGAACATCCAACTAGGCACCAATACTTATTTTTGAATTTCAGATACTTCAATGTGATTGGATCAGACCCAGAGGGAAGATTGGGAGAAGCTCCACGCCCAGAGCTTCGTGAACATGGGCGGATATCGGGTGCTTGTTTTGATGCTGCTCGTGGTATCATCCCTGGGCTAAAGGTCGGTCTGCTGACAAGTTTGTTATCTTTGTACTTGAATTTGGAAATTCTAACAATCGACTTTTATCATAACTTGTGTTTTCAAACGAGTAGTTTATTCATATCATGTTTGTTAAGAGTCCCACATCTATAAAATAAGAGAGAATATATGGGTTTAAAAGGCTATGGGTTAGACTAGCTAATTGGTTGGATTCAATCTTTTAGTGTGGTTTGGCCCATGTTCATTATAGCCCAGTTGAGTGACCCTAGCCCAATCATTGTTGTGACTTCACTATCTATAATATAATGCAGGTTAGGGGAACAGACTATAAGACGGGCGATGGGACGTGCATAAGGGATTACATTGATGTTACTGATCTCGTGGATGCTCATGTGAAAGCTCTGGAGAAGGCAAGCCCCGGGAATGTTGGAATCTACAATGTAGGCACGGGGATAGGCAAATCAGTAAAGGAGTTCGTGGAGGCATGCAAGAAAGCGACGGGGGTACCCATTAAAGTGGACTACCTTCCCCGTCGACCAGGCGATTATGCAGAAGTGTACAGCGATCCAACCAAGATCAGGCTCGAGCTAAACTGGACCGCAAAACACACCGATCTTCAAGACAGTCTGCAGATCGCGTGGAGTTGGCAGAAGTCGCATCTTAACGGCTATGGTTCACCTTTGGCAATGGCTGTGTAATTCCATCTGGAATTTTAAAGAGTGACAAGAAGTCAAGAACCCCCAACACAGCTTAGTTTTTGGCCTAGTAAATTAGTGTTTTTCTAGTGGCGTTAGATGTTTGAGGCAGAGGGGTTCCAACATTTTTTTTTTTTTTTCTTTCACAGCTAGATTTGATGATATAGTACCATAGTGGTGTATGTAGTGAGCAGCCAGCTTATTCGTCCATTTATTTTATGTATTTAATACAGATGCCTAATCTAGTCTAGTCTAGATTATAATAATATATAGTTGTTCTCTTCAAGGTTTAGCCCTTGACTTGTCTCACTCTCTCTCTAAATATGGCATTTAGGGCATCCTCAATCAAATTTTAAGATGTCAAGTAGGAGAAGAGAGAGGAAAAAAAATGAATTTTCAAAAAAAAAAAAGAAAAGCTATGGTTATGTGCTTGGGTGGGAGAAATTGCGTGCTTTTTTCATATTTGGTGGAGCCCATTTCAGAGACAAAATCTATTCTAGGAGGAAGCTCTTAGAGCAACCACATCAATGCATAATGTGAGAATAATGACATAAATTAATGTTATGTGGAAGAGAGAGAAGCAAGAAAGAGAAAAATTGGGTGCTTTTGCAAATGTGGGGAGAATTCAGAAATGTGGGGCCCACCTTTAATTTTGACCATGCGTGACAGCCATGCGTGACTGTCACCTTTGCGCGCACGCGCCCGCTCATGCGCGCCTGCCTGACAGTAATTAAAATATTATTTAATTTTTTTTTTAAAATTCAATTTTCCTTTTTTTTTTTTTGTTTTTTCCTTTTTTCTTTCCCTTCCTATCTTCTCTTTCCTAATCACTCTTACATTATCCCCATTCTCCCCAACTGATGCGGAATTGCGAATGCTCTTAGGGCATTCCCATTAAGGGAGTTGTGCACAAGTTTTGAGGAGAAAAGTGTGAGGTGGAGGAGAGAGGAGAGAGATGGGAAAGTGTGTTGCAGAAGGTTGTGGTTCTTTGTCCCCCCCCCCCCCCCCCCACAAAGAAAAGAAGCAAGCAAAAAAGTTGGCATGGGCTGCAGTGCTGCACATTCGCGCCCAGTCGGGCACGGGCGCGTTTCTAGTTCTTTTTATTTTTTTCTTTTTTCTTTTGCTGACTTTTTTTGTTTTTTTTTTTTTTTGTTTTGTTTTGTTTTTTAAAACATCTCTCTCATTTTCTCTTTCCTAATCACACCTACAAAAACTCTTCAAAAATCACACCAAAACCCCCATTATTGAGAATGCCCTTACCTCTTCTCCCTCCTCATTCTCTCTCTTCCGCTTAAGCTAAAATCTCCTAAAAAACTGAGCAAAAATCACTATTGAGGTTGCTCTTAGTATCTTCACCATCCATACGAGTGGCGCTTGCCAAACAACTTGTTTGGTTCGTAGAAAATATTTGAGAATGAATGGAATTAAAATTTCATGTAAAAAAATTAGTAAGAAGATTAATTACATTGTTTGGTCGGTGAAAAAAATTTTATTAAGAATATTAATTTCATTGTTTGGTTGAGTTTCGAATAGTAAATAATAATGAGTATAATGAATAATATACCCTTACACAATAACAACAATAATAAAATGGTAATTAAGAAAGTTCTAGATGACAAAATTGTTCTACTAATTTTTTATGGAAAACTTTTTCTATAAAAAACAAATATCCAAGGGTGGAATGAAAATTTTTTCCTTATTCTTGAGGAAAATATTTTCTAATGTAAAAAGTTTTTTTTTTTTATGAACCAAACAAAGGAAAATTTAAGAGTAAATACCTAAAATGGTCCCTCGACTATAGCTAAATTTACAAATTGGTCATCGACTTTCCATTTCAACCAATTAAGTTCTTAACTTTGTAATTTTAACACGATTTGATCCTTCGTCTATTTGACCGTTTGTTGACCGTGATCTATGAGGATATATATGTAATTTCATGGTCCATCGTCGGTTTTTTAAGGTTCCGGTTACATTTCCAGACCGCACTGTTACATTTAAATCCACTGCCGAAAGCAATATGCTAAATCCTGTCGCCTTTCTTCATCCTTCCTTTGGATTCAATGTAGTTAAGTTCGTACCAGACCGAAGAAGACGACGTGTTTTCGAGCCACAATCTGCCAAGTCCACGTGCTCCGACGAGAGTTGCAGGTTCTTCTGGTGATTGTCGATGACGGCGCGGCCACCGGCGTTGATGCAGAAGTGTTCGAAGGCTTGTTTGAAGTCTGGAATGTAGGGTTTCCATTTGGGATTGAAGATTTTCTGACCGACGATGGACCATGAAATTACATATATATTCTCAAAGATCAAGATCAACAAACGGTTAAATAGACAGAGGACTAAATCGTGTTAAAATTGCAAAGTTAAGGACTTAATTGGTTGAAATTGAAAGTCAATGACCAATTTATGAATTTAGCTATAGTCGAGGGACCATTTTGAGTATTTACTCAAAATTTAATTTTCTTCAAATTTAAGTCATCCAACCAAACACCTTAGAGCATTCCCACCAAAGATTTTTTAGATATATTCTTCCCAAAAGGTTGAATCCCAACCCGAGTCTGACAGAGTATTGGGAGGAACCACAGAGGCTATACCTTTGCTTACAGCGCACAAGGAACCCCCTCATTTTGAGAGATTACTCCCACACTGCAGCTGGTGAGACTCGGTCCTGGTCATTCTTTCTTCGCTGGCCATGCGCCATTTTTTGGAGATATTCTTTACACAATCAAAGGAGAGAAGATGATTTGGAGGGAAAAGATCGAAGAGAGGAAAGAGATTTTTTAATAGTAATATTAATTTTTTTGTGGGGTCTACAATTCTGAAAAACAAAGGCGAATGACAATCTTTTTCTTCTTTCTATCTTTTTCCTTATTTTTCTTTTCTTCTTTCCCTCTCCCTCTTATGTGACTCCACAAAAACCACTTCAAAAATTTATTCATTTGAGATGTTTTGACTCAATAAAAGTCTGATCTAAGACTCATAAAAATGATATTTGCATTTACAAAAATCAATTCAACTGGTGGTAGGGATGGCAAGTAAATAGATGATAATCTCAAATTGAGGAAATTGGATCATTGATTCTCAAAACTTTCTAGACTTTAATTAATTGCCCCACCAACCAAACCGACATAATAGAAGAAAATTTGAGGTTTGAGACCACGTGGGTTTGATCCAATGTATGTGTTCAAATTAAAGATTGTAAATCAAAATTGGGATGGGATTAATTGTACATTGCAACGGCACAACATTGCACATGAATTCCTTAGGAGTTAGGGTTCATAAACGAGAGAGGCATACCATACTTAGAAGTGGAAGGAAATTTAAGAGTGAAATTGAACAAATTATTGAATGAAGAGATCGATAACTCAAACAGTTGTAGTTAAGCAACTGTTTATCAAATATCCCTCATGTCTATTTTCATTTACTTTGTAGTAAGTAAGCTTAATGTACATGAACATTATACTACAAGTGCATTATGAATATAATGTGCGGTGAATAGTGCGAATGACTGATAGTACTTTGAATGTTATCATTTTAGACTAGGACATACGATATAATTAGGATCGAAAGTGTTTCTTTTGGGTGTTGTTGCCAAGTTTCAAATAATGTCATTGTGTTCGACGGTGAAAATCCTGGATACACCAAAATTATTAAAAACAAAAAAAAAAAAAACAACGTAACTTTCATACTTGGGTGAGGTCATAAGTAATAATGTGTTCGTCATGAGTTGCTTTCTTGTGCTGGAGATGAAAGTATGTGGTTTTGAATTTGTGATGGGACAAATTAAGAAGTAGTAAAATGAAAGGTGGATGAGTTGATGTATTTGAAGAGTTTTCAAATTTGAAGTTGTCTGTTGTTAGGTAGGTTCTTCCGTTTTGGTGGTGCGTTAGTTGAAGGGCTGCAGAACCGATTGAATGGGACTTTTATTTGTCTCAAGTAGCCGGGTGATCTTTTTTTTTTTTTTTTTTTTTTTTAATACTAATACGGTCAAAGTACCTATAAAGTCTTTGTACTATAATGTTTTCAGGGGAGAGAATTGCATGGATAGAGAGTAAATAATATATAATTATAAATTTAATGATATAACATTTTAAAAGTGAAAGAAGATTGCAAGGACGAAGGTAGTCTTAAACGTACGAATTTTAATGATTGCAACTGTGGATACCTATCATAAAAAAACAAGGTAATTCGAGTTTTCAAATGTGAATAACCTTTCATAAAAATAAAAAATAAATAAATAAAAAGAGGCAATTTGAGTTTTCCAAATGTAGTAAATAGTGCATGGCAAAGCAATAGTTATTGTTTTGTCCTTTAATTTATGGAAAGACACGCAGTTGTTGTGCTCAAATGTGTGTTTTAAGTGAAATTAAATGATTTTGATTTTAGCTCGATACTTTCCTACTATTTCTTTTCTGGATGTCGAGCTCGGTAGTAATCCGAGTTATGTCTGGCGGAGCATCTTAGCAGGTAAAAGCTTGCTCAAAGAAGGTGTTGTTCTCAGAATTGGTGATGGTAGAGATACTAAAATTTGGGGGGTGCCATGGCTTGCTGATAGCTTAGATCCCAATCTGCACACCCCGGTTATGGACTGTTAGTGGCTTGCTTAGCTTGATGGGGCTGGAAATTGGGACTTGGAGTTTTCAAATTTGAATGATGTCTTGCATAACGCGGCAAGTCGAGGTGAGTGTTCTATGGTTTGAAACTTATTCAAATTCTAGTTCGGGTTGCTAGTGATATCTGGACTCCACCTCCTTACAACAAAATTAAATGCAACATTGATGCGGCTCTTTTTGATGATGGTGCTGGGTTAGGTTTGGTGGTTCGGGACCATAATGGAAAGTTTGTGGCAGCTTATAATACCCGAATATTGTGTAATTGGAACCCACTTATAGCGGAGGCTATAGCAGTGAAGGAGGCCTTAACATGGTTGAAGGCTCGTGGCTTTAATAGTATTCAAGTTGAAACTGATTGTCTTAATTTTTGTAATAGCTTTAATTCTTCATTTTTGAACCTTTTTTTTTTTTTTTATCTTGGTTTGATTGTTAAGTATTATCGTATCATTACCAATATCATTGGAACGTGTATGTTCACCATTTCAAAAGGTCACCGAATCAGGTAGTTCATGTGTTAGCTCGGGCAACTGGTTCCACGTCTGTCCTAGGTTCGTGGTTATCTGTGCCACCGGCTTGTATTTCCCACTTGGTTGATTATTAATGCAATCGCTTATTTTCCTTTCAAAAAAAATGATTTTGATTTGAATTAATGAAGTTTTAATTTAAAAAAAAAGTGAAATTAAATGATTACAAGAATATAAATCAATCCAAGTTGTCCGTAACTTACCTGGCTCAAATCAAAAAGTAATAGTCATTATTTTGATCTACATAGGGGCGAATCTATAGTGGGGGCAAATGTCTTCTTCCCCCACCCATTTATTTTTATTCTTTAGAATATAAGATATTAGATATGCAAGCTTTATTTTATATTAATAGTGAGATATATGATTTATAATATATTTTATATTTCAACAATTTTATCAAATTAATTATATTTCATATTTTGTTATAAGTATTTTTATAAAATTTTAATGTGTTTTGATTTTTCGTTCATATCCAATAATATTTATGACTATGCTTCTAAGGGAACATTATGCTGTGAGCACGTGCCCACCTTGCAAGGTGGGCACGGTTACATATCCATAATTTCTATACTGTAGATTTATAATTTCTATACTATAGATTCATAAAATTTATACTTTAGATTCATAATTTCTAAACTGTAAATTCATAATTTAAATACAACATATTCATAATTTCTATACGGTAGATTCATAATTTCTATACTGCAGATTCATAATATCAGTACTATAGATTCATAATTTCTAAATTGTATAGTTATCCAGGGACGGAGGCACCTTAGGGTGTAGGGGGCCTTGCCCCCACACCCCCCACACCCCCACCCCACCCCTACCCTCACCCTAAATTTTTTAATAAATATGTATGTATATATTGATGTAGTAGGGATAAAATACACTTTTGGCCCCCCTCTAATTTTTTTTTATAAGAAAAATCTATTATGTTTATATTAAATAAACTCAAAATATATATTAAAGTTCAAATTCATTAAATAAAAAGAAATAAATTAAATATTTAAAGTGACTATTTTTCTTTATTATCTTATTTCTTTTATCAAGATTTTAATAATGAATGGCATCAAGTATACATTTTAATTTTAAAAAAAAATCTCCAAATTTGAGATATATGCTTTGGTTTTATTAGTTTTATATGTTGATTAATTAATTAGTGATTTATTGTGTGTTTTAATTATTTATTTACATTTTTAAAATGTACATTTACTAGTTTAAATGATTGGTTTTGAAATTGACAAAAATTAATATTGATTATTTAATTCATCTTGATTTTTGTCTTTATCTCTCAAATTTTGAAATATTCAGTTAACCAGTAAAATGAATATAAGTTAATTATGAAAAAATTTGGTGATAAAATAATTGACAAAACTTTTTATTTGATGTTAAGTGACAATCTATATACCAAGACTATGTGGTCTAATGGTATCCGGGTTGGACTTCCATTTGGAAGATTGTGAGTTTGAGCCTCAATGGGGGCGTTATTGGTTCTTTGGGTTTCAGTAGGTTGAGAAAGTATATAAAGTATATGAACAGATACAATGTAATAGAGCCAGTAGGATTCAAAAAAAAAAAGTGACAATCTATATTTATATTCATGAACAAATACTACAATGTAATAGAGCTAGTAGGATTCAAAAAAAAAAAGTCAATTAATTATAATGTGGACTAACATTGTAAATTTTTTCTACTACATTGGTCCCCCCAACTCAAGTTTTCTGGCTCCGTCCCTGTAGTTAGTTTTCTGGCTTCGTCCCTGTAGTTATCAAATTATGAACATATAGTTCTCTGATTTGTGAAAACAGAGTTCAACAATTGGAATCTAAAGTATAAATTTTATGAATCTTCAGTATAGAAATTATGGATCTACAGTATAGAAAGTATGAATCTACACTCTAGAAATTATGGATATAGAACCGTGCCCACCTTGTAAGGTGGGCAAATGCTCACCGCATAATTTGCCGCTTCTAAGTGTTTCATTTTTATTTGAGAAAATTTCAATTTTGGTCCACTGACTATTGGAGTTGAATTAATTGCAACACTTGACTATCAAAAATGTTAATTTAGTACCTTGACTATGTAATTTCTATCAATTTTGGTCACGCCGGTCAAATTACCGGCGAATTGTGACCGGAAAATCTTAAGTCAACATTTGAACTGAATTGGAAGGGGTAAAATCGTCTTTTCTTATTCCTTCTAATTTGGGAAGTGTTTTCAGTCTACAGCGTATATATTTCCGACGTCCTTCTCCGGCCTTCGTCACCGGATTCCTTCTCCAACGTCACAGCCTCCACCTCCGGCCAAGTCCCCAACTCCCATTTCCGGCCACCGTCCCCAGCTTCCTCTCGTCCGAATAACAACTTCAACACCACAGACCACGAACTTTCCAAAAGCTTCACTAGGATGTTGTCCAACTCAACATTTTTGTATATAATCATCTAAATCTCTTTTTTGCAGTGATTAAACCCTATTTGAGTTTCTAGGGAGTAGGGTTCCAATGCTTTATTATTATTATTATTATTATTATTATTTGCAGTGATTAAATCTGAAATCCGTCTCCTCTTAGTATCTCACCAAGAGCTGCAGGAAAAGCGATGAAGCGCCGGTACGCAATGGTATGCTCATCCAATCAGAACCGGAGCATGGAGGCCCATTCGTTGCTTAAGAGAGAGGGTTTCGATGTTTGCTCTTACGGGACTAGACAGCACGTGAAGCTCCCACCTTCCCTCAGAAAGGAGGGGTGTTATTTTGGTTAACACTTCGCTTTCCCAAATTAGAAGGAATAAGAAAAGACGGTTTTACCCCTTTCAATTCAGTTCAAATGTTGGCTGAAGATTTTCCAGTCACAATTCGCCAGTAATTTGACCGGAGTGACTAAAATTGATAGAAATTGCACAGTCAAGGTACTAAATTAACATTTTTGATAGTCAAGTGTTGCAATTAACACAACTCCAATAGTCAGTGGACCAAAATTGAATTTTTTTTTTTTAAACTATCTCTTTTGTTTTAATCTTTCATCCTCACTCGATAAATTTTCTGAATCCGCCCATAGTTCTACACTAGGACAACTTTGTATTCTTTGCACAACTTTACAAGGTACTTGGAATTGGTTGGAAGAAAGGAATTGGAGGGGAGGGGGGATTGTAATTCGGTGGGAAAAGAATAATGTGAGAATAAAGTAGAAATTCAAATTACATTGTTTGGTAGGAATAAATAGAATTATTAGGAATGAGAAGGGAAGAAGTGCGTGGTATAAAGACTAAAATATCCTTGTGTAATAATAATACTAATAATAATCAAGGGTAAAAAAAATACTTTTCTTCATTTTTTCCATTTCCTTTCCCCATTGAATTGCAATTTATATGGGGGAGGGTATGAATTATATTGCAATTCTACAAAATGAGGGAATTCCAATTCCCTCCAACCAAACACTGTAATTCAGGTGGCCAAACATCTGGGTTGCCTTCTCCGGCGATGGGTCACTTCTCGTCGGAGAAGGCGACCTTGGTGTCTTCTTTGTGACCGGCGACCGTCGAACGGTCGCCGATTCCTTTTTTTGCCTGAACTTTCGTCGGAGGGTACCCAAAACCCTAATGACATGTGATAGCAGGTCATTAACTGGTTTTTGGGCTTCATTGCAGCAAAATAAATTGTAGATAGGTATAATTGCACCTTTAAAAAATTTAGGGGACTAATTGACTTTTCAGCTAATGTTCAAGGGCCTATTTGACCCTTTTCCCTTTTTATTATTTGTAAATATTACTCCGTATTATTTATTTGTTTGTTAGTTTTATTTACAATATATTTTGTTATTTATATATTATTTTATGTTAATATATAAATATTAAATTGGTGGTAAATAATTTTGAGTTCGGTGTAACTGATTAATTTGGACAGTGATTATGAAATCTTTAAATTCAAATGAGCAAACACAATAACACGATATTAGAGAATATGAGATGAATGCTGTAACCATTACTCTTCAGATGTTTTGTAGATTTCTACAAACAAACAATATATCCATGTGGCCATTTATGTATATCATGATTATATGGAGTAAACATGATTATACATAGGGAATTAGGGATGTATTAGGCTTCCTAATTAAGTAGGCTTGGTGGTGTGAAAAGGTAGAGTTCAAGCAATAACTCTAGTAAAAGCACCAAGTCTGAATGCTTTTGAACTTGATGGAAACAGTAATTCCAACAGGGAGATTTTACAGTAGACATTATTACCCAACTTGAACAGGAGATTTGTCAAAAGAGTGAATAAGAACTTGCCACAGATTTTAATTAAATAAAACTATGATTACATTTGACTATATTTTCTCCTGTCATTTTATATGAAGTACAGCAGATTAGCACAACAAAAAGTTAAAGCTTAGATTTCATGGAACATAAAAGCACGCATACCTCATCAAACCGAATAAGGGTGACAAACAAGCTTAGACTTTGTGCCTCAGTTTGGTAACCAGCCCAAAAACAAAGTAATGAATTAAACAGATAAAATCTCATCCATTTTTTGTTGTGGAGCAGATTGAGTTCGTCAACTTCATGGGATCAATAAGCCTATTATGACACATGTAAATTTTACTTTATAGTAATTTCGTATATCTTATTGATTGAATGATAATAATTTTAACTTTAATTTTTTTTTAATTGTAGGAGGAAGAAGAACCCGTTGATGTGATATTGAAAGCATGACGGTTTGGATGATAGTTGAAGTGTAGTTGTGGTTGTCATTGTAGTACTTAATTTATGGATTTGATTTGATTGATTTTTTTTTTTTTTTGGTTGATGTTGAAGCATAATGTAAATTTATGGATTTGATTTGATTGATTTTTTTTTTTTTTTTTTGGTTGATGTTGAAGCATAATGTAAACTTAAGATTCTTATTCTAGTATTTAATTTATGAATTTGATGATTGACTCTTTGTTGCTATTCTAATGTAATTCTTGATTAGTATATTAATATAAAACTTTATACTATTTAAATTTACATTTTTATTATATTTTATCTTAATTTATTGGAGAATTTGAAAAAAAATAAAATTAAATTAGGTAATTTGAATTCGAATATTTGAGTTATCAAATACGAATCAAATTAACATACTACAATGTAATAGAGCTAGTAGCTTTCAAAAAAAAAAAATACGAATCAAATTTGAAATTTGAATATTAAATGAATACAAATATTCATTAATTTAATCGAATTCGAATCAAATAGTAAGATATTTGACTCGATTCAATTTGTTTACACCCTTAAGTCCGACTTAAGGCTTAGTTGGAGCCCACTGTATTTAATATAAAATGGCCCTCCATTACTCCATAAGCCATAATTATATGTACTTTTAAATTTTACTCCCTCAATTTTACTCCATAATGTAGATGGCTTTGATAAGTTACTTTTTTCACGTGAATCACAATACAAGTATACATCAAACTTTTGTGTGTGGGAGTAAAAATATGGGTATACACATAGCATTTTCCTTACCAAAAATGTATGGTGTTTTGTCCCTATAATACCGGGAACAAACAATTAATTCACCATAAACCCAACTACACTTGTGATAGTATATTCAAACCTAATAAGCATTCTCACAAACCATTACACAATACAGAACTTACGTACTAAGGAAACAACATAAAATTAAGATTCCTTTATGTAAAAAATTTCTGCTTTTGTAGAGGCTCGAGGGAAACGTAAAAGTTCTTGCATAATTTTAAATTCTTTATCATTGTCATAGCGAATCTGACGTCGAACAATGACAACCTTCTCAATTCCTGGAAAGTAAGCAAGGAACACCTTAATAGACTGCATTTCAGACCTCCACCCATTAAAATGGCTAAACTTCAAAGTGCGAAGCATTTTCAGTGTTCGAGCCACACTGCTGAGTTCCTCCATAAGCACAAAATCCTCTGGATTTAACTTCAAAAACTAATAACGGAACATAAAAATAAATAAGCAAGCAGTTCATAATTTACATAACAAATTTGCATTAAGAAATGCAACAATAATGTAATCAATCAGAATTTTATGGAACAGTGGATCCATATATATATAAATGAAGATTACCTCTAGATGGCATATATCAAGTTCGCATAATTTTGGGCATGCTCGCAGCAGATGTATGAATGCAAAATTATTTATATTATATGGCGGATATATAGCTAGCTTAAGGAGTTCAATGTTTAGTGCAGGTGCATGTCCCACTCTAGTAAGTTTTCCAATAATCGTCTTGGAAATCAAGAGAAAGACAATTAGATCAGTTCCTAAAAAAACATTTTATAAAAACAGAATTAAACAAAAAAAGAGTGGCCAATTTACCTCAAAGCAACAAGTTTCACAACCCAAATCAAGACTTGATATAGATCTCAAGTCCAAGCTAGCCGGCAGAACACCAAATTCTTTGAAATCATAACAAAAACACTCGGGCAGGTCGATTTTCAAACTACCAAGTTTTGGTGCAACAATGTTAAAATCAAATATGCCATAGCAATAGACAAATGAGAGATCCTCAAGCATAGGAAGATGATAAACATAATCCCTACGATTTGTAGGCTCAAAGTCAACGCAGTCAAGACAAAGTGATGTAACATTCGGAAGTACACAATTTATTAGTTCAAGAGGGACAGTAGAAAGTTTCAATCTCTTCAGTGTTGGGCAAGAAAATATGCAATTCGGCACCCGGCATTGTGCTTCTACAGAAGCAGAAATGTCAATTTCTTCAACACCATTCTGGGTGAGAAGAAGAAACCACTGTTTCAAGTTGTTCGACAAATTAGGTATATCCTCAAGATCAAATTCTTCATTGAAATTGAATTCAAATTCTTCTTCAGAAAAGTCTAAGACAATTTTGTGAATAGGTCCACTGTGCCGCATGAGAATTTTGTAGATTACATCAAAAATAAGGAGTTGCAACTTCCCACCTTCAGCATACTTAAGACGTATATAATTAATGAAACCATAACCAAAGTTGAGCTTTGTCAGACTAAGCCAGATATCCTTCCAGAAGGAAGATAAAATTGCAGTTCTAGCAGCATCTTGAATCGGCAAAAATCCCAAAATATTGTCAAGTATACCCAAGGGGAGTTCACTAATTCTGTCTTTTCCTGCCATATATAATCCAGATAACTCGTTCTAACAAACACAAATTGAAAAACAAAGACATCAGAACACAGTTCTATAATATGAATTCAAAACAAGCCTATTTTTGGCATTCAAATTCTGTAGACCTATAACAACATTTAAACCACAAATTTAATCTGCAAATTAAAAAATATATATATGCATGGAACATACCTATAACAAGAATGATTCCACTTAGATGTTATTCACAATATACTCGTGTGCAAGAGACTATGAACGAGAGGACAGGATTCAAATTTATAAAGCACAGAAATGAAATCAAATTATTGAAAGATGCAACTTCAACATCCCTACACCACGACACAGCGTTCCATAGATTTCAACAAAGAAGAAAATTTACCCAAATTCGCAGATTCTCAGCGTCGTCAAAGTGTTTGGCTGAGTCGCTCAGTCGTTCTTCTGGTCGCTAGGGATTTTAGAATTTAGATTTTAGGATTAGGATTTAGGAATTTATAGATTTAAGTTTCAGAATTTGAGTGTTGACTGTTGACCTATAGTCCTCGACTATTCAGGATTTAGGAATTTAAATTTAGAGTAAATGGCCATTTGATTATTTGATTTGATTTGATTTGATTTGATTTGATTAGTACTCTTTTTAGTTAGTGATTTTCTATTCGATTGAAATATTTATTTTAACTTTTTTTTTTATCACAAATAATTTTTAGTTAAGATTTTTATTAAATTTACATGTATTATTGCCAAATTAATTAATATAATTATAATTATCTCTTTAGAGAATTTTTTTTTTTTTAAAGGTAGAGAATTATTATATGATAACACAATTAATTTCTAATATTAATAATAAAAATAAAAATCATATTGTAAAATTATTATAAAACAAAAATATTATTCTTCTTATATTAAAATCTTTAAAAGATAATTATTTATTATTATTTTAAAAGTACAATTTTTGATAGTTATAGTATCAAATAAATTTATAGATAATACAATTTTATAGTATACGTTGATAAATTATAATAAATAAATACTTTTTTTTTTGAAATAAATACTTATTTTAAAAATCTAAATCATAGTTCTACATTTTCAAATTTATAATGTGTTTTTAATTACATTTGATAAAACATTTAAGTCTAACCCTGGCCCATAACTTAAAAGACTAGCCTTATTCTCCAATGATTAAAAATTTAATCCTAATTTTAAGTTCCAAAATTTAACTCTACAAAGGCTAAAAATCGGCAAATTATGATGTGGACACGAGTCCAAAACGACGTCGTTTTACGGGAAAACACGGCCTTTCAGTAAAAAAAAATAAAATTGATTTTGTCTTGCCATTAACGGCGTTATTCGAATTATGAATGTACAGTTATGGAATTATGATTATACAGTTATGGAATTATGAATGTAAGTTATGGAATTATGAACACAGAGCTCTGACATTATGAATTTACAATTATGAACATATAATATAAAATTATGAATACAAAGCTCTAAAATTGTGAACATAGAGTTTCGAAAATTATGAATTTACAGTTATTGAATTATGAATGTACAGTTACGGAATTATGAATGTACAGTTATGCAATTATGAATGTACAATTATGAAATTATGAACACAGAGCTCTGACATTATGAACTTACAATTATGAACATAATAGTAATAAAATTATGAACATATGCTCCTATAACAAAGTAGTCTGAAATTAAAAAAAAAAAAAAAATGGTGGAAGATAACGCTGCCTTTAACGGCACCGTTACCGTGTCCATATTGCATGTTGGACACGGGTCCATAGCATAACGATTGCTAAAAATCTAACTCAAATTTGAAGTCCAAAAAATTTCATATTTCCACCAATGAAACATTGCCAGTTGTTATACCATAAACAAGGTCCACTTTGCAAGGTGTACCCTAGTCCTAAATTATGTATTTTTAGTACTGTAATTGTAAACATCTAACATATAAATTGTGTTTTAAGTTTTAAGAATTTGTGAAAAAAAAAAAAGTTATCACGAATTGTGAATTTTTAATAGGTAAATTATGAACATAAATTGTGTATCTTTAAACTCAAATAGACCCGAGTCGACCGAATAAATTATCTCTCTTCAACTTCATCAACCACAATGAGTAGATGACTTTCAAACAGTGATAACGAGTTGTAACAATGACTTTGATGCAAAGGAAATAGGAAATTCAACCATCCGATAAAACGAAGAGCTCTACAAAGGCGATCATGCTACAACTGCGACAATGGGCAGCCAAGCAATGGCCAACGAGCGACTACGATGATGTAAACTCTGACAAAGGCAACATCAGCACATAAAGGAAAAAAAAGTTGGTCAACTCAGTCAACTAGTTAGATGACTACCTAAACGGGCTTCTACATCGGCCTAAGGGCGACTAAGCCGATTTTTGCAACGTTCATGAAACACAAAATACTAAAACACGACCCACCGTTATAAATAAACCTTAGAGAATGTATTATCGTCATTCAAGCACGAAAAATCTTAAAGGGCATTTCTTGTTCTAAACAAATGAGGAAGAAAATGGGAAGAATGTCGAGGATCCTACTATCAATGTAAACTTTTATTCAGTTGAAATGAACACATTTTAATATGACATGAAACCAGATAAAAAGGAGAACTTGTGATATATATCCTAATCTAGGAGGATATCTAGTATAATGCAGAAAAAAACGTTACTCAAAACTATTTCTGCAACGATCAGGACTGACCTTGAGGGAGCCATTTTTTGAGAAACCACTTTTTTTTTTTGGAATTTGTTCGCTAGGATCTGGCACAAATCTACAATAGCATTCAAAGTTAAGAAAAATTGTGTTTGTCAGGTGTCACCATTTGATGTCTCCAAAAACAACTGCACAGCAAATTACAGAAGGCAGAAACAGCAACTTTCTTTCTTGACTACATTCAGAATATCATTGCAACTGCTGGCTGCTATTCCCATAACTTGCTAGGATGATATATTAATCTAAACCTGTAAAAAGAGGCCAACTTTTCAGTAGAAAGAAACTGCAAAGGAAAGCGTATATTCTGTATTGTTCATAGCAACACAACAACACAAAATACATGGAAGAGCATTATTGCCAAACAGTCATCTTATTTGTATTATAACCTATTGAGCATTAACCAAATGTTTGCTAGTTGACCATTACATGATGGAAGTAAGCCATGGAAACAACCTCTCTGAAAACAAATTTAAGGTTGCTTAGATCCTCCCTTCCTACTCCCTAGACCCTGGCATGATGAAGAAATCTTACATAGTTACATGTCGGGTTGAGTATTTTGATATGACACAGGAAATCAAGGAAAATAAAGCAAGATTGATTCTCTCAATAATTCTGATTGATTGGCAGTTCGAATATTATTCTTTTGCCTTCACTATTTTTTGTTAATTTTGGTTTTTATTCCTTTCTATTTTTATGATTGTTGATTGCGTGTAAATCCTTCTATATAACTAAGGATTTCATTGCTAATAAAACACAATAGAATGAAACCAAATTAAGAAGGAAAACTCTCACAAATTTCAAGTTCTTTTCCCCCTCCCTCCACTTCCACAGTGATCCCTGTTGACGCAAGCTTTTGCCTGTGGACATAACATTTGGTTCCATTACCAGGCATCAACATAGGCAATATCAAAACAGTACAAGCCGATGCCAGGATGCTCCAAATTGTCGTCCAGTCCATACAAACATCACTACAAAAATGGAGGCCATAGCAGACTTGGTCCAAAACAATCATAAAAATGGAAAGGAATAATAACCAATAACCAAAATTACCAAAAAAATGTAAAGGAAATAACGGTTCAATCAATCAAAATTATTGAGAGAATCAATCTTGCTTTATTTTCCTTGACTTCTTCTGTCATATCATCAAAATGGTGAAAACTTTGTTAACCAGCCATCACCTTTGGAAACTTCATCAATCATTTTACCACCTACTTTGCCAGCGGGAGCGCCCATCTCCTCACACCAACCTAGTGACCTACCACATGACTGTCTACACCAAATGGGTTCAAAATGCCCAGCAATTCTTGTAGCAAACCTCCAAAGTTTTGTGTACACTTCACTTCAGGCCCAAAGTTTTGTGTACACTTCACTTCAGGCCGCCTTGAAGCCTAAATCCTTTTGGGGAATTGACCAAACTAAAACAAAGTGGCAGGCCCCTCGAGGAATACATTGATGATTTCCAAATGATGCTGGCAAGAATGAATGAAGTCCAATATTGACCAAGAGGTAGGCTTATCCACGGCAAGCATAGATTTTCTAGATCGATGTCAAAAGATTTAAACCCACATGATTTTAGATGAAGCGATCAATGTAGCCCGTGACTACACCCACAAAATGCAGTTGTTGGGCAATCTGACACCACGACCCCAGTCTCCTATGGGCCAGTATCCATCTAGCAATATTATAATGGTAAAACAACAACCACCTTCCAAGCTCCAACACATTAAGCATTTCTCACCGAAAGAAATGTTGGAATGGAGAAAATGAGCAAGTGTAATAATTGTGACGACCCATAGGTAAAAGGCCATCATTGCAAACAACTATACATGCTAGGCTTTGATGACAAAGTGGAATACACACGAATTGAACTAAAGACACCTTATAGCATACCATTCCATATTTCCGATTCAAGCTTGAGGACAAGGGGTTGTTTAGTAAGTGGAGAATTTTCCAACTAAAAAAAAAAAAAAAAGGAAATTGGAGAATTAGAAAATTGAAAAATGGAACTTGTTCATTAAACTCAATTCTCCAAATTTGTAACTCTCTCCATCTCTCCACTTTTCTTTGTTTTTAGAGAACTCACAAACACAATTCTCCAAATGGAGAAATGAAAAATGCAGGTGAACAATATCCTGAGGTTATGAGATCGAATCCTACCAGTTATGTTTTAGGCCTGTTTCCCCTCTTTCTTTTGCTTTTTATTTTTTATTTTTTTGTTTTGCTGAGAAATCGCACAAAGGCGACTGCAGCTAGGGCACGAAATCACACAGAGGCACTAAGGCTAGGGCACCAGCAAACCACCTTCTCCTACTCCAAGGTGAGCAACTACTCCAGCAAGCATCCCTTCCCCGGAGAATGCTAGGGCAGGCATGTTTTCCCCCTCTCTTTTCCACTCTCAATTGCTTTTTATGTTTATTGCTATGCTGAGATATTCGCATAGAGGCGCAAGGCATGGCCACCAGCGAACCTCCTTCTCCTTCTCTGAGGCGTGCAACCACTCTACTCCGGCAAGCCTTCCTTCTCTGGCAAACCTCTCCAAAATCTTTAATAGTTTCTTATCCAACCCCAAAAGTAATCATGTAAACCTTTTTGTCTGCTTTGTTTGATCTTCTGATGATGTATGTATTAATGCTCATGTAAGGGCTTGTTTCCCTAACAGATTCCAAACTCCAAAGAACCTACGAATTCTCCAGTGAACAAAATCCCAAAAACTGAATCTAGTTCATAACA